GCCCGCCCGCAGGGAGCCCCGAGGGCTGCTAGCTGCGCGCCGACGGCAGCGTCTCCCCGGCCCGGGGCGTCCCTCCCGGCGCCGGCCGCCCCCGGGGCTCCTCGGTGGAAAGCGAACCCACGAGAAGCCAGCGCCCGCTGCGGGCAATGATGGCCCCGCGTGGGGAAGCGGACAAGGAGTCCCTCCGCCCTGGCTTCTTGCGTCTTCTGGGTCCTCTGCGTGCGGGAAGCGCACAGCTGGCTGGAGCGCATCGGCTCCCCCGGCCGCACGCAGCCCCGCAAGTGGGAGTCGTAGGGGAGCTGTCAGGGGGCCCGAGCTGGGATCGGCGCCCGGGCTCGGGGTTGGGGGTCTAGCCCCAGTGTGGCGCGCCCCCGTGCGCCCCCCGGTCCGGGTGGCCCGTGCACGCCGCACTGCGATCCATGGCGGCAGGAAAGCAGCCGAGGGTCCCACTGCAGGGAAACGCCCGGGAAGGAGGCTGCAGGAGGTGGGTCCGGGAGTGCTGAGGCGGCGCTGGCTCTCCCGAGGCCCGCGGGACGAAGCAGATGCGCTGCACAGCCGCTCAGCTCTGTTTTCGCCCCGACAGCCTGAGCGTCTTTGCAAGAGTTGGAGCTTCCAAGCAGTCCTGCTTGGGCTGTTTCCTTTCGCTGGCACAAGAACTCCGAGAGTGGAGAAGGAGACAGGGCTCCAGTGGTAGGAGCCCCGGCTCTGATTCAGGAACTCGTAGCCGGGATGCTGGGGCTCGTCACGTCGTCAAGCCTCTGGTTTCCCCCTCTAGAAGGGGGGGATGGTAAATCACACCCCCCTCGGAGGAGTCATGAAGACCAAGTCGGTCAGGCCCAGAGCACAATGCCTGGCACAGGGTGTTGACAGCCAGGCTTCCAGCCTCTCCCAGTCTATTCATGTGTGCTCCGTGTCCTTTCAGTTGTGCAAGAGTGTGGGAGGTGAAAGGTGAGGTGGCCCCTTCAGCTCCCAGTGGCTGCTGAGTGGCCCCTGCCTCTTCTCAGTGCACTCCTGTAGCCTGCGTGAGAGGGTCCACAGGGCAGGTTTGTGTGTGAGGTTTAAAAGCCCTGGCCGGTGCATTGGCCCCCCTCTCTGGCCTGCCGGTCTCCCGAAGGCGTTTGGTCACTTCCAACAGATGGATTCTACCTGTCCCTTAAGAGAAAGTCCACTATCCCTTAAGGGAACAGGGAGAGGAGAGCAGGTCAAGGAGAAAGAGGAGGGGAAGGATTCTTGGTCCCCAGCTCTGACCCAAGCCGGGTCTTGTTCCCTTCAGTCTGCAAAGCGATGGGCCTGTGATTGCCGGAGTCTTCTGTGCAAAGAAAATCTTTTTAGCTTGAGACTGTCGATGTCCTCCCTCTGTGTACTTAATGCTTCTTTGTCTAAATTAGAGAAGAATGTATAGAACTAATAATTTGAGACCTCAAGAAATGCAAGGAAGACTGAAAACAGCCAGGAGTCCTGGCGTAGTCCTCTGTGACTCTTTGGCTTAATGCCTGCCTGTAGGAGTCAGATATTTATGTGTCTGCGCCTTTCAAAGACCTCCCCAGGGGAGCAGGCATAAAAGGTGAGGAGCCTGGCACCAGCAGTCTGAGAAACAGTGATGGCTGAGTCGTTAAACCAGAGCCACTCCTGGATCTCCTTCCCTCCCAGGCTCTGACCTCGTGCTTGTTGGCCACTATGACCTGATTAACCTGTTTAAAAGTTAGTTTTGGGTCACTTAGCAAGAAACTGTCTAGTCACCTGAAATGCATTTCCACCCCCTCCTTTGAAGTAGTTTTCTAAAATCGTTTTCTGCCTGTAGTTTCTTCTGGCAGCTACTAAGATGGCCATGCACTCCTCTGGTGTATTTACCAACACTTTCAGCTTTGAAATAGGAACAACCCAGTGCTAGAGATTCTCAACCTTACTGTTGGTTAGAATTAGCTGGAGAGCTTTAGAAATATGTCTGGGTTCAGGCCCTATTCCTGAGATTCTGACTTAATTGGTCTAGGTAACAGTGACGTTAAAGCTACGGAGTGATTGGAAAGTGCGGCCAGGGCTGAGAGCTTGTGTTCTATGCTGTTTCTTTGTGACTTTATGTGATCACCTCTTGATACTTTATGTGCTTCTTTTTGAATGTTTTTATTCTTAAACCTGTTCATTAGGTCTTGGATTACCCTGTCTTCAGGCTCTTACAGCGATTTGCAGAAAAGTTCTTTGCAGGAGGAAGATAACAGTGACCAGGAGGGCTTGGGAGAGTGTTAGTTAAATTAGGTAGTCACAAGCTGAAACGCCCAAGGGACCAGGGAGCAACATAAAACCAGTGAACTAGGGGCCCAGCCCGGTGGCGCAAGCGGTTAAGTGCTGCAGCGGCCTGGGGTTGGTCAGTTAGGATCCCGGGCGTGCACCGACGCACCGCTTGTCAAGCCATGCTGTGGCGGCGTCCCACATAAAGTGGAGGAAGATGGGCACGGATGTTAGCCCAGGGCCAGTCTTCCTCAGCAAAAAAATAGAGAAGGATTGGCAGATGTTAGCACAGGGCTGATCTCCTCAAAAAAAAAAAAAACCAGTGAACTAGGTGGGAATGATTCAGTTAGGGAGGGGAGTGGGGTTTGTGGTGACCTGGAGGGCATGCCCCCTGTCCAAAGAAGACCACAGCTACCCACCTCCAGCTGGTTGTGGCCATGCAGGCTATCATAGATTGCAAAATGTCTACAAATTCTTCCATCCCTGGATACATTCTCCCTTTGCAACGTGTCTTTGCAACTGCTTACATCAGGAGGTGGAGCCAATTTCTCCAGCCCTTGAGACCATTGACCTTGAGACTTCCTTGGGCCAATGGGACATTAGCAGATGTGACACAAGCAGAGGTATGAAAAATACTTGAGCATCAGTGCTTGCTCTCCTGACGCTCTTGGAACCCTTTGACCACCACCGTGTCAAAGACCCCTGGCTAGCCTGCTGCGTGATGCACGTGGCCAAGACATGTGAGTGTGGCTACTCTGGACCATCCAGCCCCACATGACCATAGAGATCAGCTCAGTTGGCCCAGACCAGAAGGACTTGCTGGCTGTCCCACAGAATTTGGGAAAATAATAAGTATTTGTTCAGGTGACAGAGTATCGGGGTGGGCAGCAAAAGGTTACTGAAATACAGCCCAGCGTTGCCAGATGTTATGATCTCTTAAGGGGAAACTAGAAGTTCAAATTTTTGTGTAAGTTCCAGCTTTTAGAAAATTTGAATTAGTAGCCAGCATCCGTAAAGCACTCTCTGGGCCAAACAAAACACATCTGTAGGCTGCACTTGGCCTGTAGGTTGCTGGCCTTTCTGCATAGAGGGACATGGGTGTTTATACTGACACTGAATTGCTACCTAATCTTTCATCCTTCTTGCCCCAGTTGCTGTGTCCCACCTTACCCTTATCCGCTGTTCCTTTATACGGAATGCCCACAATATACTTCCCAGCCCCAACTTCTTGTGGCAGTCTTTCCACGTGGAAATGGAGGCTGTTGGTATTGCCAGTCTTCAAGGAGAAAGTGAAATTTGAGACGGGTCCCCAATGAAGGAGAGTGGAAAGGATACTCCTGGTTTTGGGTGAGCATGAGATCAGGCATGGAAGTGGGGCTGGGGGTGGGACAGTGGACAATGAGTCCACCAGTTTTGGCCAAAGAAGGAAGTTCCTGTAGGGCAAGTGAGGGAGACAAAGTTGGAGAGAGAGAGGGGAGATTGTGGAGCCCCTAAATGCTAAGCCAGGGGCTGTACATTAGATTCTGTGGGCACTCAAAGAGAAGTCACTTGAAGCATTTGAATGGGGGTTGCATGGGAAAACAATGATCTACTCTATTCTGGGCATGAGTGTGCCCATAACCTATAGGAGGAAGGAAAGGAAGCAGAGAGAGACAGACAGAGGATATAGTGTTTGTAGTGACAGAGGGAAAAACTGAAATGGGGAAGAATTTAACTTAAAATATATGGTAACTTCTCTTTACCTTAAGTTAGGGTTAGCTATGTTAATTTTCTTATATATCTAAACAAGACATAATGGCTTTTTTCAAAGCACTTCTATCAACAGCTCTGTTTTGTCAAAGTCCCTGTTGACTGACTCAAAGGTGTCTGGAGCTTACAGTTGTTTATTCCTGCACTGGGGGCTTAGGGAAGGAACTTCCTTGCTCTCCACTGAGAGCTTCTGGAATCAATCTTTCCCCCCCTCCTGCACCCGACCCTCCCTCTCTCCCTAAGGGATTCTAAGTTATTCACCTTCCTCGGAATGAAGTCTTGCAAAGTTGGGAGGACGGGAGGAGAAAAGACAAAAATCTTAAATACAATTTTAAATCTTGGGGAGAGGAAAGGAAATGTCACAGCTATGAAAAGAGGAGAAAAAGAAAATCAAGAGCAGTCAATTGTTGCCACAGTGAAAAAGCAAAACCTAACGAGAAGCAGAAGTGAAATGGCCATATTTAGACCAGTATCTTTCAATCTTGACTGCACGTTGGAATCACCTGGGAACTTTGAAAATTCCCTCCTGGGTCCCACCTCCCAGCGATTCTGGTGCAATTGGTCTGGGCAGAGGGGTCTTTAAAAGCAAAAGCCCCGAAGGTGATTGTAACGTGCGTGGGAGTTGAGCACCACTGCCCTGGCAGTCACCAGTGCCGCCCGCAGGCTGGGCTGCTGCTTGGAGGCAGGAAGCAACATAGAAGCTTCATCTGGGGGAACGTCTGCTATTTGGTTTTTGCCATTTTCACGGTAGATATGGGCAGTGGTTCCCACGTACACTTGAAAAGTATGTGCAGTTTGGGAACAGCATGTCTAACATAAGCCACATTCTTGGGATGGATGGAAACAGTTTGTTTTGTGGGAAGATACAAATGGCCTTAATACGAGTGAGATTGCTCGTGACAATAAGTCTGCCTGTTGAGAGTGCTTCCTCCCAAGCGGAAATGGGCAAAAGACTTAGTTGCACACAAATGGGATGGAGGGAGGGAAGAGAAGGAGGATGAGAAGACAGAGAGCTGATGAGACTTGAAAAGGAGAGAGATGTCAGAAATGTGATAGTTGTTCAGAATGGGAAAGCTTTGAAACATTAACGTAAAGGTAAACTGGCTATTATGAAAGTGTCGGCGTATTTAAACATACCAGACACGAGTTCGGATGGCAAGGGGCGGGGGTGGGAGGGGTGCCGTGGTGCCTGTATCATTCGATGTTGGGAGTCTGGGTGATGACTGATGGAAGTAACCCCGAGGGCCTGGCTGGCTGAGGAATTGCTGCTGAGTGTTTTTTTCCATTCTCCATCTAGAGGGTGTATGAATGACCTCAAGTCCATGATTGTCAAACTGCTCATGTTTGTGGACAAACTCTTCTACTGGGACTGGAAGGATGTTAGTAGCATCGTCTTTTTAATTTGGGAATGGTAGTGACTTTAAGAGATTTTGTTTTAACTATATTTTTTAAAAGCCTTAATATCAGAATTCTTTGCTGTCCCAGTATGATCTTTTTGAGGCTTAATGGAACTTTCTTCAAATTAGTCTGTGTTCATTAAAAAGAATCAACCCTTGGGGCCAGCCCCGTGGCTTAGCAGTTAAATGCACGCGCTTTACTACTGGTGGCCCAGGTTCGGATCCCGGGCGCACACCAAGGCACCACTTCTCCAGCCATGCTGAGGCCATGCCCCACATACAGCAACTAGAAGGATGTGCAACTATGACATACAACTATCTACTGGGGCTTTGGGGAAAAAAAAGGAGGAGGATTGGCAATAGATGTTAGCTCAGAGGCGGTCTTCCTCAGCAAAAAAAAGAGGAGGATTAGCGTGGATGTTAGCTCAGGGCTGATCTTCCTAACAACAACAACAAAAAGAATAGACAAGCAGACATTTAAAAAAAAAAAAAATCAACCCTTGTTAAAGCTAGGCATTTTCTACCTAAAACAGATTTCTAAGCATATCTTGGGGAACTCTAGTGTCCCTCAGTGTTCCACATGTTCAACGGGAAAATATTCAGTAATAATAGATTGTCTACTAAAATAATTTTTAAATAAAAAAATGTATGACAAGTGTTTAACACATTTATGTGGTACTCCTTAGGTTTTATTAACCTGCCTTTAAGAACTGCCATACCAGTCCTGAGATTGCATGCAACTCAAAAGGTATTGGGTTCTTAGAGCAGTTAATTCATCTGTGAGATTATTATTCTACATCGATTTTAAATCTAAACATTTATATTTCTTTTTGGGCAATTTTTAGCAGCTTTATTGAGCTATAGTTGGTATACACCAAACTATACTTATTTAAAGTGTGCCATTTGGTGAGTCTTGGTATATGAATACACTGTGATATTAACACCACATTCAAGGTAATGCACATATCCATCATCCCCCAAAGTCTCCTCACGCCTGTTTATAATCCATCCCTCTCTCCATCCCACCTTCCCCCTGTCCCCACAGGCAACTGGTCTGGTTTTTGTCACCATAAATTAGTTCGCGTTTTCTAGAGCTTTATATAGATGGAATCATATAGTAGGTACTCTTTGTTGGGGGAAGGGTTGGCTTCTTTCACTCAGCACAATTATTTTGAGATTCATCCATTTTGTTATGTTTATCAGTCATTCATCCCTTTTTATTGCTGAGTAGTATTCCATGATTTAGATACATCACATTTTGTTTATCTAGTCACCTGCTTGTGGACATTTTGGTTGTCTCCAGTTTTTGGCTATTAAGCTGCTATGAACATTTGTATACAAGGGCAATTTTGGAATGGCATGTCTAACGTAAGCCACATTCTTGGATTGGATGTACAAGTCTTTATGTGGACATACTCTTTCTTTCTCTTTGGTAAATAGTTAGGAGTGGAATGGCCAAGAAACTACTAAACTGTTTTTCAAAGTAGATGTACCATTTTCCATCCCTACCCACAATGTATGAGAATTCCAGTTGCTCCACATCCTTGTCAACACTTGGTATGGTCAGTCTCTAGTTTTAGCCATTATAGTAACTATGTAGTGGTATCTCATTGTGCTTTAAATTTGCATTTCCCCAGTGACTAACAATGTTGAGCATCTTGTCATGTGCTTATTTGCCATCCATATATCTTCTTTGGTGAAATGTCCATAAAAGGACTTATCTTAATAACTAATGTTTGTGTTTAAGGGTGTTGCAATATGAAATAAATTTAGGAAACACAGTCCTACCATGTCTACAAATCTCTACTGTGAATGTTTGATGTGAAGATTAAATATAAAGTTCAGAATCTTTTGACCTTTCTGAATACTTCATGCATTTTCAAAATTCACTTGCTTGACCAGTAAGAGATTTCCATTCCAATCCAGGCAGGAACATGTCTTCTGTTTTGAAGAGGTAACTCAGGTAATCAATTGAATAATCAGGTTATTTTTCTTTCTGAAGTACATAGAAAAGTATAAATAGCTCGTCTATTTATATGTGTTCTTCATCTCATTTATACAGAATGAGAAGTGTGAGTCATCTCAAATGGGGACCAGCCATACTGGTCCTGGGGAAATGTCAACTAAAATCTCAAGATGCCCTTTTAGCTGATTGGATATTATCAACCTTTTTAAATTGTATTAATGTTGGTGAGAAGCAGGAAAACGTATGCTTCTGTGCTATTTTGAGGCATAACTTTTGGGGAGGCAGTTTGATAGTACCTATCAAAATAGGAAATGCACATACCTTTCTTCCAGAAGTTATGCTCCATCCTACAGAAACCCTCATACGACACCAAGATGTGTGTGCATGTTGCGTATGTGTATAATATATAGTAAAAAAATACTCAATGTAATTGTATTCAAAAAAGGAAACTTCCTAAAGGAAGAGGCATTTGTAAAAAGAATGAGGCAGATCTGTATATATCGTTATGAAAAAAAAAATGTCCAGAATATATTGAGTGAAAAAAGTAAGCTTTGTATCATATGAAAACAATTTTATTATTTTTAAATTATGTGTATGTATAGAGTGGGGTCATTTCTTGAAAAGGAGTTAGGTTCAAAAGTCATCAAGAAAGGAAATAATTTACTTGTCAAAATGACCCTTGAAAAACCCCCTAACCACCGATCAAGTAGCCTAAATATAATTTTGTGTTTATATATTTGTGTGTGTGTATATAAATACAAATATATATATTTGCTTATGTAACCCTATATATGTATGTATAAATATACCATTGACCTACATGTACATATACTATTCGATGCTTTTTTGTTTTCATTTCTTCCTCTGAGAGCGTATATTTGAATTCAAGAAAGTTCAGTGTGCCTGTGTCTCAGCCCCTCTGTAGGGTTCTCAGTGCCCAGGAAAACATCTGGAGGTGTACAGACAGTACTGTTAATGTTGGTTACTTCTGGGGAGAGTGGGGTTGGGGGGAGAGGTGAAGGGAGTTTCCTTTTATACTTAATACATAGTTATAAACGAAAAAGAAAAGTGTCCTTTCCCGCTCTGATTATTGTGCTCAATTACTTTCTCCCGTGGAGGAACAGGATCTTCTCCTGGCGGCTGCCTATGTTTCTGATGCCCAGTACAACAGGAATGTTCCATTTGAGACATCCCCTCAGGCCATCAGGTAATGGAAGTGTTAAACTGTCACGTATAAAACCACCTGTCCTTTAGCACTTAATACTCTTGAAGTTGAACCCACACTGAAGACACTGTTTCCACAAATATGTTGAGAAGTATAGAGGGTACGGCACATAGATTTGGAGAAAATCCAATGCTTTTTTTTTTTTTTTTTTAAGTTATAAGAGCATGGTGCCTCACAGATGGGGAAGCATTCAATACGTGTGTTAAGGACAGATACATGAGTAAATGGATAACACCCGGACAGGAGATACAGCATCCAAGCCAAAAACGTGTCATCATCTTTTCCTCCTTTAGTTGTCCTCTTAGAGCTGCCTAAATGAGAAGACTTTCTTTTTCCTTTCTGTTGCCTTTGGATGCAATCTGTACGTTAGTTCTTTTCATGAGAATAGAGCTTTTTCTCTCTCACTCCCTAAGAGTTGAACTAAGACCAAGGATTTGGCTCAGAATAAGGGAAAAACATTTTTTATTATCAGGGCTGAGTATCAGTGCCTCCAAAAGCAGTGAATGCTTCGTCCCTGGATGCTGTTGAGCAGGTTGGGACACTGTCCCCCCAACAGGAAGAGAACCACGTGACGGCGAGATCTCCTGCGTCCACCATGTCGAGATGGGGTGGTGCACATTATAAGTCAGTCGGGCTACCATACCACATAATAATAGGTCACTTTAACTGAGGGTTTCCTTGGCATCAGTCACTGTTCAAAGTCCTGTAAAAGCACTCTCTTATTACCATCACAACCACTCCATGAGGAGGGAACTAATCCTAGCTTGAAACTATTAAGAGAATGCGCTTTGAGATATAATAATATTCTTGATTTTTTTCTGTTAGCATTTTGTAGCATGTGCCCAATTAAATGCTGCCCCTTGCTCCCTAGAATTTAAGGGAAGTGTGGCCAGAGCCATCACTTGGTATTTTCCCTACCATCAGTCTTGTAATGGGAAGTTTGAGTGCTGTTTACCTCCTGCTCCTTGTGTATAACTGCCTTTATTTTTTCCCTCTTCAGATTTTACTATTTTTATAACCACTGGACCATGCAAGTAGCCACCTACTTCTTCATTTGTGTAGATCTTTCTCTCGCCCTGTTCGAGGAACCCGCATTGTTTCCACTGCCTTTCTTGGTGAGCCTTCAAAACAAAATGGCCAACTGACTCTGTCATAGATGGGTTGGGGCCCATGCCTCTTCTTTTTTTTTCTTATCTCAAATCTCAATTAATTTGAATTTGGTTTTATTTTTATTGCTGGAGATTGGAAGAATTCTGCCTACTTCCTGAGCTGATACTTTAATCATAAGGCATTTTAAATGGAGTGGAAGTTTTTGGTCTTCTGTGCATACAAGGATAAGTGGGATAGAAAAACGATGTTTTAAAAGCATATTTATTTAGTGCCAAGTAGACAATGTCATAGTGTAATATGTAACTTGTACTTGCCACATTTCCAGCTTTTTTCGTAGTCATCAATCTGAGTATTTATTTATTTATGAGTATCTGTTGGTGCCTAGTAGCTGCCATCCCTAACCTCCCCTTTTCTGGGGACATGCCCTCTGGGTCCTCTGTCTGCTGATGCAGCCCCTCCCAGGAAGCCCTGCCAGCTAGCTCATGGAATTCGTGGCTCAAGGACAGGTTTCCTTTTAAGAGGAAGAAACCATTCCAACCAGCAAAGAATTTTACTGCCACTTTCAGTAAAATTAAGGGACGTTGCTGATTCTCAGAGGGTGGCATCAAGGTGGCATCGGAGGGGTACCAGAGAACTAAAGCTGAGCCTCCACATGGCCGGGCGCTGTGCTCGGTCTCTGTTTTCTGTGTGCAGGCTACCTCGATAGCAGAAGTACTCTGCCTGACCGCATTCTTTGGGAGACTTGTACATTTTGCAAAAGTCACTCCTCAAGTGGTTTTCTGGAAGGATACAAAAAACATCTGCATCGTGGTAACGATAGTGGTGAGTGCTCATTACAGTGCCTTTAAGAGTTTGTGGTCAAAGGCAGAAACTATGAAGAGAAAGGACTTGATAGATTTGACTTTGTTAAAACAACAATGGCAGACTTTGGCACAGAAAACACCATTAGTGCAGGCAAACCACAACTGAAGATCCAATAGGGCAAAATATGACAGTGGGAATATTCCAACCTATCAAGAGCACTTTCAAAGTAAAGGAAAAAAAAAGACAGAAACTCCAAGAGTGCTGCAAATAGGTGATGGCATCTCATAAGAGAAGAAATAAATAATGGCAGATAGGAAAAAATGTTTAACTTCACTAATTAAGGATATATATTAAAACAACAATAAAATACCATGTGTCCCTATAAAACAATGTTGGCAAGATTGAGAGAAAACAGAACCCCCTATACCCTGCTGGAGGGACGAATAAGCTCTCTTTCTGGAAGGCTGTTTGGCGATTCCTTTCAAAAGTCTTAAATGTGCATATGCTTGCACCCTGGACTTCCATTCCTGGGAAGTGATCTTTAGGAAAGAAGGGCCTGTTCAAAGATTTAGCCACAAGATTGGTCATGGATGAGCTGTTCATAATATTGAAAAATTGGAAACAACTGGATTTCCTGAGAGTAGACGTGTGTTAAATAAAATGTGGCACATCCACACAGCCCCTTAAAATAGTGTTAGAGGAACATATATGTCTTTTAAAGAATGTTATACATTTATAAAAAAATCTGGAAGGATATATCCTAAGCAGTTATGAAAGTGAGGCAGGGTAATGCATTCTGAAATGCTGCTGTAATGAGCAGAGAGGCCACGTCCGTGATTAGATAAGGGTACTTTATAATCAGCCTAGCAGCACAGCAGCCAACATGCCTGAACCATGGTTCTTTCCAATTAACTGTAGGCTCAGTCTCCTCACCTCTGAGCCATCCATTCTCAGAGCTTCCATGAACACTTGGTGGGAGGCGTCCCCATGCCGTAGCTGATACTGGTTTCTGCTCTCAATTTCTTTCTTCTGGGGCCAACTGTTTGCTAGTGGTTTCCACATCAGTGTTTCACCTCAAACACAGTGGGGCCAAACCCATCCTCTTCTTCCCCTCGGCTCCCCTAGCTGTTCTCCCTCCCATTGTCTATGATTCTTTATCTCCTATCACCCAGGTCCAAGTCCTCGTAGTCAAGATGCCCTCTCTTCTGTCTCACACCCGGCCTCCCTGAGCCCCCCTCAGGATGCCTCGTGCGCTGTTTCCCATTCTCCCTACTTGGACCGTTGCAGAGGTCTCTGATGTGGCTGCACATCGTCCCTCTGCTGCATGCCATCCTTTCTTACGACGTAGTCCAGGCCTCTGTCACCCCTCTCGGGAACTGCCATGGTCACCTTAACCTCAGATTCCTGGTACATGCGTGTTAGATGCTGCTGCTGGATTAATTCTCTGGAAGCACACCTCAAGTCTCTTCCTTCCCTTGCACAAATATGTGTACAAGCTCTGCAGACTTGAGCACTCTGCACCACCAGTCCTGCAAACGTCTTTCACACGGCCCCCTGCACTCCAGCCGGCCGAGCTGCCCGCTGTCCCACACGCACCGCTCGCTCCCTCTCCCCTCGGTCTATCACTCTTGCCTAGAATGCCCGCTGTCTTTTCTTGCCCTTTGTCTAAAGGTTTGTTTTGACTTCCCTTCACACATCTGCTGAACCCTCAGAATATGCAGACCAACTATCTATACTTTTCTTAGTTTTAGGAATATCTTCACTTTCTGTTATTAAAAAAGTAATACGAGCACACTCCATCTGGGATGGTACCTGTGACCCCAACTTGGGTTCAGTCCATAACACGATGCTGCCTGAGATGTTGCCTGACACGGGAAGGTGGAGGATGAGTCGGTGGGAAAACTGTAAAAAAGAAAAGAGGAGGGAGGTTATTTTTGGAAGAAAGAGAAATCCGAACAATACAGAGCAGATAAAATGGAAAAGGCACCCCTGCTCTTCTCCTCCCAGAGGTGTGACCTTCCTTCATGACCCTTTCTGCCACATGGCCCCCACTAGGCCAGGGTCCGTGGACCTCTTTGTCTCCTAAAACTCCCAGCACGGTGCCTAGAATACATAGGCGTGCAGGCGCTTTTAAAAGTCAGGTCGCTGTGCTCCCTTGCTTCACATCACCCTACGGCTTTCCATCTCATGGCAGAGAAAAGTCAAAGTCCTTGTCGTGGCCAAGGCTCTCTGTCCCTCCAGTTACTGCCCACTCTCACCTCTTCCCACCCTCCCTCTCTCCTGCCCTCTCCACGGTGGGGCTGCTTCAGCCTTTGTACTCTCCCCTCCCACTTCTGCATGGCCTCCCCTCCCGGGGCACCTCCTCAGAGCACCCTCCCCTTCTCCCTGCGCCCTCAGCCCTTTGCCTCGCCTGGGTTTTCTCAGAGCACGTCCCGCCACCTGCTGCAGAGTGTGTTTATCAACAGCACTGCTCTTTCCTGCTGGAACACGCGCTCCGTGAGGGCACTCTCCATCTAGCCCTTTGCTCTCTCCAGAGCTAGAACATCCCCCTGCACACGAGAGGCACTCTGAAAACGCATACAGAGTGAGGTGAATGAGGACACGCTTTTGCCCCATTCAAGTCTGTCCAGCATCTATTACCTGGGGGTCTCACTCCTTTTCTCCCATCACCCTTGTTTGAAAGACTTCCCGGGTTCCCAGACCCTGGGAGTAAGACTTACCTTTTTAGCCTGGCCCTCAAATCCACCTGCCATCAGTCTTTGTCACTTCCTGCCCCCCCTGCCCACACCCCCAGGACCCTCTGCTTCCCAGACGTGCCCGACAGTTCCTCCCCTAGGCTCCCTCTACTCCGCCTTCCTGCCTGGGCTTCTGACCTTCCTGGGTTTTATCCTTTCAAAGCTCTGTCTTTGCTTTAAGATTACATCACGGAGCGCCTCCTCCATGAAGCCTCCTCAAACATCCTAACCTTGGTGATCTGCCCATCCCTGCTCCCCTGGGACGGCCATGCTGGTTCCCTCCAGGGGGCACCCAGCACAGCAGCCAGCACCAGCCTCCTCTGTCTGTGTCCCATCTCTCCTCTTGTGTTGGATCTCACTGGATCCTCTGCACCTTGCCACCAAAGGGACCAAATTCACATTTCTGATGATGGTAGACTATTCTTTTTTACTTAGATTTTTCTAGAATACACTGGGTTCTTCTTTTGCACTGTCCTCAGATGATCACAAACCTGACATTAATAAGGATCAATAAGAGGGCCGGCCCTGTGGCTTGGTGGTTAAGTGCGCGCGCTGCGATGCTGGTGGCCCGGGTTCGGATCCCGGGTGCGCATCGAGGCACCACTTCTCCGTTCATCCTGAGGCCAAGTCCCGCATACAGCAACTAGAAGGATGTGCAGCTACGACATACAAATATCCACTGGGGCTTTGGGGGGAAAAATAAAATAAATAAAATCTTTAAAAAAAAAAAAAAAAGGATCAATAAGAATTTTCTATATTCCTGATATTCTTCCCTCTGTTACTAGGCTAGACAACCTCTCTTTTATATGTCAAATTAAAGAAAAGTTAAAGTTAAGTAGGATGTAGCGTGGGAGCATGTAGCCATGTGGCTAACTGCAAGGCTGTGACATCAGACTGCCTGGGTTCCAGTCTCAGTTCTGCTCCTTATTAGCTGTGTGATGGGGCCACATGCTCACCCTCTCTGTGCTTCAAGTGTCTCCATCCAGGAATAGTGCCCACCTTAGGGATGCGGTGAGGATAACAGAGAATAATTATGGAAGGTGCTTTTTATGCTCCATGGCGCATAGTAAACACACAAATGACAGCTGCTATTAATGTCATATTATAAAACTGGAATTATGCTGTTTATGAAACTTGCTTTTGTACATAACATATTGTGACACCCCCCGCCCCGGGTCAGTGAACAGGCATCCACGCCATGACTTCCTCTGTCCTCCAGCAGCATGGTCCTGACATCTCTGTCCCGTGTCTCTCACAGCTGACCTTGATTGATCTGATTATCTATGGGTCCCTGGAAGCTGTTAACATCCACAGCGTCCGATGGTCAAGGGTCTTAAGGCCAGTCTTCCTAATTAACTTCCCCGAAAGTCGTCAGGTAAGGATATACTTTAGGATACACAAGGGCTTGATTTCTATTTTTCAGAAAATTAGCTGATTTCTTGTCAATGAAATTAAATTTTGTCTTCACAGATCCGCAGGGCTTTCCGAAGCATCCGGAACACTCTGCCTGATATCCTCTACGTGTTTCTCTTGTTTATGTTCAGTGTGCTCATGTTTTCCCTCATGGCCTTGAAGCTTTTTGGGGATAGGTGAGCATGCTGCTCTGGAAGTTTCTGCCTGTGAATTCTCCCGGGTTTGGGTTCAGCCTGTTGGTGGCAGAATCTGTCACCCGATGCCATAGTCCTCGTTCAAACTCCAGGAGTGCTCTTAAAGGGAAAAGTGTATCAGAACCCACAACTCCATTTATGTGTGTGGGTTTTTCACTTTGTGTTTTGGTTCCTCTTCAGGGGTCTTAAAACAGTGGAAGGATCACCGTACTTCACGAACATCCTGGAGATAGCGTTTGAGCTCTACGTGCTGGTCACGACCGCTAACAGCCCTGATGTCATGTACGTGCGTCCTCAATTCAGGTTCACGGACAGCTGTTCCCATAACAGAATTCACTTTCTTAAAAGCAGCTGTTTCCTGACACTAACAGGGCTGAGACAGAAAAAGAGAGATTTTCTGTTTATTCATATTCAGTGTAAAAATTTTGAAGAATACCATATTTTGAATAATAACAAAAATTTTACACTGATGATAGCCTACCTTCTCTATTTAAAACTAAATTTAGATGAATTTTTTAAAACCAAAAGCCACAGGAGACATCGCTTGGGATACAGCTCTTAAGTATTTGAGCCCACATTCTATTGCAGGATTTTCTTTGAGTCTTGAACTTAAACACATAAGCCATCTTTGTAAAGGAATCGTGACTTGTTCTCCTAACCTTGATGTGGTTTTCTGGCTAAACGAAACAGAAACGAAATGTAAAGATTCGTAGTTGTCACCTTCCCCTCAAAATGCCAGTTTTCCACACGTTTGGAGATTACTGAGATGGTCTTTTTTCTAATATCCTTTATATTTTTACCTTGTTCATGGAGGTAAGATTATTAAACAGTGCTATACTGTGTAGATAGCTCTTGGAGTCTGGAGTGTGGACAGAGCTCTAACTGCAAATGTCGACCCACATCTCATCCCATACTGCTCTTCGGGGGAGAGGCAGGTTTTCTGTCATCTAGTTCTGTATAGGACCATCACATCAACTTGTTCTGGGTTGTTGTTCACTCTTGGGCCCAGTTCTGGCAAAATGTAAACAAAGTAAAGTTCCTAGCCCTCCTCGTGTTCTCTTGGGTCTCTCCTTTAGACTCTGGGCTACCGGCCATGCCAGCAACCCAAGCATCCCCAACATCCCTTCCTGTACGAAATCCAGTTTCCGTTAGAGGTGCAGTGAGCACACATTCTGATTTAGGCCTCCCGTCCTGGTGCAATTATTAATGGTGCCCCTTCCATTCTCATTGTCCCAGTGTGGATAGAAAATTTTCTGGTCCCCAGTAAGGAAGTTGGTGTCCCTGCAGAGTCTTGAATGTAAACCTAAGCCATGCTTCAGACTCCCTCTGTAATTCTGGGCAAGTCGCTCTCCTTTCTTGGCCTCAATTTTCTCATCGTGAAGGGAAGGAATGGGATTGGGAGATCTCCAAGGTCCTGCCTGCTTTGAAAGTGGGTACCTCTATAAGGCACTAAGAATTTCAGAAGGCAGGTTTGGAGTGAGCTGTTGAGCATTAGGGATGGTGGTGGCTTTGAGGCCCCATCACACCGAATGGGAGAGATTTAGAGGGAGAGAAGGTTTTTCTGTGCCTCATGCACATGGGTGGTCCATGTGAGATGTCACCTAAGGTCAGCCTTTTTGCACTGTGGACCTAGGGTATGGAAAACCATGAAAGATAACTGTTTCCTTCTAGGATGCCTGCCTATGACTTCAATTGGTGGTATTCTCTGTACTTTATAACCTACGTCATCATCAACACCTACATCTTCATGTCCGTCTTTCTGGCCGTGGTCTACAACAATTACAGGAAGCACCTAAAGGTAACACTCGTGAGCAGGGGGTCTGGGGTGAGGGACGGGCTCCTGGGCTGGGTGCAGCGGCAGGGAGGCTGGCAAATGCACGTGCTAAATATTTGAAAGTGTCCTTTTTCTTTTTACTTTGGAAACTCTGAAGACTTATCTAGCATCTTGCTGTCTTCTGCTAAGCGGGGTGGTTCTTTAGCAGTCTTTGCGGTGGTCTGACGGTGCATCTGAACATCGTGTGCAATGGCAGGTCCTCGCTTTGCTGCTTGCTCTTAACGTATCAGATTGCTCATGGCTCCTTGAAACGTTTAGTGTGTGATTGGGAGTTGGGGACATTCTCCAAGCTCCTACCTCCCCTTCCCCCTCCAACAGAAGCAGAAACTTCTTAAAGCCAACAGTTTCTGCCCTGGTACCTGCCTGTTTGATTTATGTCTGAGAATTCCCAGAGGTGTTGGGTGGGTGGAGGCTTCTGAGTACTTCGGGTGGAGCCCGGCATCCACCCGGATACCTCAGCCCCCTCGCCTGCCTGCCCTCCACTGCCACCCACTGCACACATCTCTGGTTGGCTCTTTTCTCATATTGTAAAACCGGTTGCACAGGGAAGCCTTTCATCAAAGAATGATTTTCCTTAAGGGAAGACGTGGCCTTTTGATTTTTGATCCTTTTGGTTCTGATTTGAATTTTTCATTGCCCACCAGGGGGCAAGTAGAAAGTAGAGGGGAACTTAAATGTTTGCAGCTGAGGAGAAGCAGCAGGTGGGCTGAGTCTGAGATTTGGCCAAACTGGCCTTTGAAGGTGTCTGGCCTGTCCAAGTCCTCAGGAGTCTGTGCACTGTGGGCACCTCAGCTGTGCCCCAAGGCCGGGTCTCCCAGAGACCCTCCTACTTCTGCCCTCCTGCCTCTGGGCGGAAAGAGGCTGTCTCAGAGAGACTGGTGTGCCTCCCTTCTCTTTGACTGCGGGATGGAAGCGTTGCTATGCCTCCCCCTCCCCCAAGGAAGTGTTTCTTTTGGTAAAGCTCCACAGAGATTAATTTTCTGCAACATGGATCAGTCAGCAAACATATCTTACACATGCCTTGTGTGCCCAGCACCGTACAAAGTTCTGAGGAGTCAAAGATGATTAAGATACAGCCCCCGCCCTTTGAGAATTTACAGTCTAGCCATGTAATCAATTAAGTGGTGACAATATTGGGTGACAGACTTATAGGGAGCCGTAGAGGTGGGTACTGGGTGGCAGATTGTAACCCCCCTTCTGGAAGATTCCCTGTGGTCAGGCCAGATGGCAGCTCCTGGCAGGCCCCAGCTGTCCTTCCTGCCCTAGACCTCTCCTTTCCGGACCACTTGTAGCCGAGTTTCACTTCCTCAACATTCCTCCTCTTCCTCTTCTCTTTCTTGGTTGACTTAATGGTAGATCTCTCCCTGTCTCTCCTGATTCTCCCTCTCTCTCAGCAGCTCACCTGATTTCCTTCCTTTCTGGAATCTCCCCTCCTCCTGGGCAGAGTGGAGTTGAGACCTGTCTGCCTCCTGCTGCTCTGTTTCTGACCACACAGGTTGTCCCTCACGGGCTCTTGGTAAGATGAGTTCCGTCTACGCAGACAGGGGTTAGCTACGTGTACCTGGAGCCGGGGAGGGATTATATACCTTGCTTATTAGCAGACCCGTCAGTGCCTTCTCTTTGGCTCTTTGATTACCTTGAAACGTTTAGGGTAAAGAAACGAGGCTTTCTTGAATCTTTCTCTTAAAAAACACAATTCTGTTTTTTAAAGAATGAGATTCGCAAACTGGTGTACCTGAAACGTCACAAAATGATGGAGGCTTTCAACATTCTGAAAGTCAAGGTGGGCACCGAGTTTGTGGTTGAGGAGGCCCAGTGGAAGCGGCTGGCCCAGGTCGTGGCGCCAGACATCAGCAGCTCCCACCTGGAGCTCCTTTTGAGGATCTCCGACGAGGGACAGAAGGGGCACGTGGGTAAGAAGCCTTGGCCTTGAACGTTCCTCTTCCCTGTGTGTCCGAAAGCGGGGGGCTTCTAAAAGGGTTGGGTGAAACAGCAGTACTGTTTTTTATTTTTTTATTTGCAAATAAAAATGCATATTGGCACTCCCCGCTGGCAACAATACAGTGGAATTAGGGTCCTCACGCTGTGTTCTGACAGGGCTGTCCTGCTGCGTGTTGTCAACGCGTAATGAGCCATCCAAAAGCCCTTACCTTGTAACACGGTCATTCCCTCCAGGATTCTGTTTTACGGAGGTCATCTAAAATATGGAAAAGAGCTGTATAAATAAACGTCTAAATCGCATTCCGTATTTGAAAGTAAAACGTTGAAAGTGACTTAAAAGGTATGTTAGTGGTTGATAGTTATTATTAATAATCATTAATTTTTGTGGCAGGCTCGTCATGTGCCAGGCCTTGCTCTGATTGTTTTCCATGCATTGTGTGCGTGTTGTGATCTTCCCCCGGGCTCACTGACGTGGTGGTGCATGGGGGGAGTTTTGTTAGCCTCATTCGTCAGTATGGAAACTGAGACTCAGAGAGGTTGAATAGTTTGTGAAGGCCACTCAGCTAGAAAGTGGTGGTGCAGGCCATCTGACTCCAGGGCCCGTGCGTTTTATCATTGTGTTAAACTGCCCCGAATTCTGATAGTCACTTAATGGGAAATTTTCATGACATTAAAAATGACCGTGAAGACGAAGTAGCAATTTGGAAAGATGTGAGGTGACTAAAATACACCCCAAACCATAGAACACCCTCATTTCGCCAGTTTCAAGAACACTCTGGATGGAGACAGGCCAAAGTGGAATGGTAGGTTTAAAAGGATGTAAATTTATGTGAGGCAAGGACTCTTAACTCGTCCAGCAGAGCCGTAGGTTTAGAAAGGACTCCATGCATGTGTGAGAAGAAGGAAACAACAATGATTCATTCTCTGGAACTTACGTGAGAAGTCAATCCAGTGTCCAGGGGAAAAAGAGAAATGTATAGCAAGACTTTGTTAAGTGGATGGTGCCAACATCTTCCAATGTGAGTTTTGGATCCATGATGGAAGGAGGCCTTTGCCTGCCTGAATCAGCAGGATTTGACAGGAGCCCTCCAGGGAGCCCTGAGCACGGCTCTTCAGCCACCCAGCTCAGTGGCATGGCTCTGAGTGTGTGGTCAGGAGCCAGGTTTCTCAGACCCTGAACAGATTGCTTTGGTGCCCCCATAGGGATGGGCAGTGATTTGCTGTGCCAGCCAGTATGTCGGGGGTAGGGTTCTGCTGATGGTGGGGGACAGGAGACTGGAGCCTCATGGGGGACACTTGAGCACAGCGCTTCTCAAGCTGTGCCAGTGAAGCTTTTTAATTTCCACCCTGTCGTGGACTGGTACTTTGGTAAAATACAACAAAAATGAATAACCAGAAAAATGAAATAAAAATGACACATAAAATCCAAGTCCCAATTTTTTTTTCTTTTTTTCTGTGAGGAAGATCAGCCCTGAGCTAACATCTGCCAATCCTCCTCTTTTTGCTGAGGAAGACTGGCCCTGGGCTAACATCCATGCCCATCTTCCTCCACTTTATATGGGATGCCGCCACAGCATGGCTTGACAAGCGGTGCGTCAGTGCACGCTCAGGATCCGAACCGGCGAACTCCGGGCCGCCACAGCAGAGCCCGCACTTAACCACTTGTGCCACTGGACTGGCCCCCAATTTTTCATTATTAGAGTCAACGGACATGAAATGATCCTGTCAATTATTCTGCAAGTTTCTAAATTTTCAGAACTTATCTCATGGGGCGTGGGGAACACGAGGACAGGCCAGCAGTGGCCCAGTGACCGTTTGAGGAGCACTACGCCAGTACTTAAAAGAGATGGTGGGGACTTGGGACCCTTGGATCTCCCACTCCAAGAACTGGGGTGGTGTGGTGGGCCACGTCAGGCCAGGTGTTCCCAAACTTTGGCCCCGCTGTTTTTGAGAATTCTCCTTTGATGAGTTAGTACCTCTGCTGCTGCTAGGTGTTTGGGACTCTGAAGACACTGATGAATCTTTAGGGTTTTACAAACTTTCTTTGAGATTCCTTCTGTAAAGTGAATTCCTGGATTGCTATTAAAAGGTGAGATGTTCCGAACCAAGGATGGGGGCTTTTAGGAGTCCTTGCCTGTTAGACATGGTGAGTGAGGCCTTTACACGTGGGTTATCTCCTGCTCATCCAGAACAGATACACATGGTCACCAGGACATACTTGTATGAACAATGTTTGCTTGTTTATAAGGTCAGTCTAACTGTTGACAGTTGTTTCCCAAGTGGGAGGACGAACTGCTTTCTTTGACTTGACAGCTTCTCCCATGTTCTAAGCTGACAAATAGGGCGGCTCTTACAATACTGTTCAGTTGTATAGGATAACAACTCTAGTTTTTAACAAAATAAATTTTATAGCATGATGTAAGACAATTGTTATATAATATTTTAATTTGAGTATCGTGAAGGACAAATATATTTATACACAGAGACATAGCATTTTAATTTCTTGGGAAGTCTTTAGGTAAATACAGGTTATTGGCTATTTATCTCAGTATTCATTAGTGCAATGCCCCAATCTCAATTAGTAACTTTAGAAAATACATTTGAGAAACCATAGGTAGTTGACTCACTGTTGACACTAAGGATTTGTGAGAGAAGTATAAAACTCTAAATGCTGTATGTACTATGTAGTTTAACTGGGTAAGTCTGTAGGGGCTTTGATTTACAATATCGTGTGGGATTTACACAAGCCATTGATAAAGATCCGAGTTTTTAAATTACAACACAATTTAAATCATGCTGCATGCTTCTAGCCCATGTTTAGGTTGTGGGCACCTAAATGTTCGCTGAGATCATGATACCAAATGACCCATCAGATAAGGGGGAGGAATGTGAGAAGTTCCTGCCGTGTTAGTCTCTTCAGAGAAAAAAAAAATTTGCGTGCACTGTCATATTTGCAGTTTGTATTTATATTAGATAAAGTCGGGAAAAAGACACAAAGATACATTTTAAACCTTAAGTCACAAAACAACTTAATTTATTAGTTTTCCTTTATTGGGAGCATTAAATAAATTTAGATTAAAATTTTAAATTATTTTAATTTGATTTATGAAGTAATTTTATTACGTTTTAAATTTTAGTCAAAAGTCTTTATATTTTAAATTTGTAACCAGATCTTTAAAATGTATCTATTTACTGAAAAAAAATGAAGGCTTGTTTTTTTTTTTCCCTAATGGCCTTTTTGCAACTACTAATTGCTGGCCAATTGTTAATTTGAATATCTTTTCTTTATTTTTTAATCTAGATAGAGACACTAAGAACACTAAACAAAGTAGAATTCCCTAGTTTCCATTTGATTTCCTTAAGAAATTAAAGTACAGAAATACTATTTAAATTAATATTTCATTGTTTTACATATTTTACACTTGTAGGGGGCCAGGCTTTATTTTTTATTTTTTATTTTTTTAAATTGATAAAATTTTAT